ATAATAACTTATACTCTTGCTTTTAGGCGTCCTCAAAGCATTTAATGAGCAGCAGCCTCAGAATTCATTCACTCACTCATAATAAAGCTTGTTGACCGTCTCTAAGGTGGGCGCGGCGCTGTCGCTGTCCGTGGTGCTGAACAGCAAATAGATATGTGCGTCTATTAGTCCATATCGTTACAATTACTAAGTCCTAGCATTTTGTCTGTGATAATGTAATTTTACAACTAATTTTACAGCGTATTATTGCCAATTACGCATACTTATACAAAAATAATGTAATAAGATAAATGCAAGAGAATTTGTGAAAATATCTAACAGCAATAAAACATGTTGACATTTATTAGCCTATTCTTTCGAGTTTCCCTTTCTCTGTCTCCCTTTCACACACATACAATTATTAACCACATGCACACGAGTCATGGTAATATGAGAGATAATCTACACCAGTGATGGGCAAACTTGGCCCTTCCAGGCCACTTTCCTGCAGAGATTTGATCCAACCCTGATAAAACTCACCTGCCTGTAGCTTTCTAGTAGTCTTGAAGACAATGATTAGCTGGTTCAGGTGTGTTTGATTAGAGTTGGAGCTAAACTCTGAAGGAAAGTGACCTGGAAGGGCCAAGTTTGCCCACCCCTGATCTACACCTTGTGATGGACACAGACAAAAAGAAAATAATAAAACAACAACAACAACAACAACAACTTCCAAAGAATGGCAAAAAAGATCCAAATGACTTAAGAAGTTTACTGCTTTGTGCGCAATCGTAACGCTGATATGACTTTTACCAACACACTCCTGATCTGAAGAATATCGCGGACTGCAGAAATAGAGACCCTCCATCAGACGGAGACTTCAAGATGAGCTAAAAAAAATAATAAAATAAAATAAATGCGCAACGCGTACAAGACCATTCTGTGTGAATGGATGTCAGTGGAGAGGTTGATATTTCAGTACGTTGAACAAACCGCTTATCTGTGGAAACGTCCTGACACAAAATAAACGAGCAGCTAAACTTCGACATGAATCTACACCTGGAGTCTCCAACAAAAAAAGAGACTGCAATTTTATGACAGCAATGTTTATACATCGGAATCCACAAATGGTTACAGAATGTCATAAAACTTGTGTTTTGTAGTGACTCTTTGAAAATAGACCCTTTCATATTAAAGGGATAGTTCACCCAAGAATGAAAATTCTGTCATCATTTACTCACCCTCGTGTCGTTCCAACCCTGTATGAGTTGCTTATGTTGAACATAGAAGATATTTTGAAAATTGCTGGTAATCAAACAGTTGGTGGTTGCCATTGACTTCCATAGTAGGAAAATAAACACTATGGAAGTCAATGGCAACCACCAACTGTTTAATTACCAGCAATCTTCAAAATATCTTCTTTTATGTTCAACATAAGAAACCAACTCATACAGGTTTGGAACGACATGAGGGTGAGTAAATGATGACAGAATTTCATTTTTGGGTGAACTATCCCTTTAAGTTTTTTATTGTTTTATTACATTCCTTGTAAATTATACAGTCATTAATGTAATTAAAATATTTTTGTTTTCAAAGATGTTGATTTGAATCCTTTATATAGGCTAACTAAACATTCAATTGCTTTTAAAACAATACAATGGTGTTATAAGAATAATATAATACGTTTTAGTTAATTTCAGAATGTCATGTATAGTAACCCTCTAAGAATATTTTGTTTACTGTCTTTTTCCCTGGTTGTGTTCTTTGCTGCTTACCTGATCCAAGTTGACCGCTGAACGCGGAGGTTGTCGTCTCCACCTTCAGGAAGCGTCTCTGGCAGCAGATCTCGCGAGAGCTCCGCGGTCGCTCAGCACCAGTCGCTTTTGCAGCAGGGCTGAGGGAGACGGAGAGAGAAGGTAAGCGGGGAGGCTGCATCATGGCGGACAGAGACAGTGGAAGTGAGCAAGGTGGATTCGCCACAGGCCCTGGCCCGATGCACCCGGGCGCCGCATCGCGGCTCCAGCACGACACGGAGGAGCTCGCCTCGAAGCGGGTGGACATTCAGAACAAACGCTTCTATCTGGACGTGAAGCAGAACGCCAAAGGCCGCTTTCTGAAGATAGCAGAGGTCGGGGCCGGGGGAAACAAGAGCCGCCTGACTCTCTCCATGTCCGTCGCCGTGGAGTTCCGCGACTACCTAGGAGACTTCATCGAACACTACGCCCAGCTGGGCCCCAGCAACCCTGACACGGTGCAGGACGAGCCCAGGAGGGCGCTTAAGAGCGAGTTCCTGGTGCGGGAGAATCGGAAGTACTACATGGATCTGAAGGAGAACCAGAGGGGGCGGTTT